CATGAACTATGTCGGATGGACAGTACAAGTATATTGGCTGTTCTAGAATAAGATATACATTTCTCGGATGCACACACATAAAACCAAAAATAATGTGAAAAGTTCTTATAAAAAAATTCCTACATTGCGGCCCCTATAAGGGGATACGTACCTAGAAGATGCTACTGAAATTCAGTTTTTCTTAAATATATTCAACGAACTTTTGATAAAGTAATAGTCAATTGGCCTCCCCGTGATGGTGTCTCTAGATGACTGAATCTCTTAGAACGCCAGGGATGGATTAGTCTCAACGCAGTACCGCAATTTGCTACACTCTGTGTGGTAATGGATAAACGTTGACAGTTTTAGCAAGCCACATTGTTAAACTGGGAAAAATATACTCTTCTCTGAGATCGACTAAACTCCTTTTTGAGAAAAATATTTTTGTTCCAACGAAGCTTTAAGATTTTGGTACTGGTTCTAGGGGTACCGCATTATTATAGTAATTTGAATAACAGGTCCGCAATAAGCGATCTGAAATATCTCAGAATATGATTTTCCAGATGGTTTAATAAGGCTTTTTGTTTCTACTGCCCATCCCACTGGCGAGGAAATATTGTAAACCACTTACTTTCGTCGGGACGTCTGGTTCTTGGCGGGTCAAAGTAAGACTACCAGAATTCCTTTATATATCTCCTTCTCACTCATACATGCACATGCAACCTACCTATGTGTGTGAACGTTAGTTCGATAAGCTCAAAGACATACGTTTTTTTTTGTCAGAGTGATAACTTACTTGACATCGGCGTGCAATTTTAGTTGCCCTGTTATCAATATTCAATACAAAATTAATTGTACAATGCTTGGAAGTACAATCAATAGGTAAGGCCGACAGGTCATGTTAAATTTTTTAGAGTATTTCCAGAAATATAATGAAAACAGCGATCCCCTGTTACCAACTTTATGCGCCCTGGAGAGAGTAGCAGATGCGCTGAAGATCAGTTTGCCATGGCACGGAGAATCGACCTGTTTACTTATTTCATATGGCGTTGATCACGTAGCCGCCAAGAATGGTGACTACAACTATACTATGCGAATTCTGATCCTGGAAATATTAGACGTCTCAGACATAATAACCCAAATATGCCGTATAATATTTATGTCTGTAGTCTAGCAACGCCACCTACTTGCGGAGGGTCTGATCCGAATTTAGCGACGCTAATGCTATCTCACTCTTTAGCCTCATGGAGCTCGTCGAAAAAACAACAAAAGGTGGTCTGATATTTTGCAACTTGAGAGAGCCGTTCATTCAAAAAGAATCAATTATTATATTGATTCCATAACATCAAACACTGTAAGTGTTTCCATAGCTGTCGAATAATAAACATACCACAGCGTGCAAAATTTGACTCAGATGTACCTGTTGTATATCCAAATTCCGTTTGTCCAAAGCCAATTTGCTATTTGTCAAATGCCCATTTGATGCCAGTTTTCCTCGATACTTTTGTTCTGGCTGTCGACTGCGCTGTAAATTGATATAAATTGTTTTTCGAAAAAAAAAAACTTTGTATTACAATACGTCCTTTCAGCAAAAAAAAATGGAAATCCCCTCAAAGGCCCAACTAATTTTTACGCTGTAAAAATTTGATTGAACGATACGGTATCATTCAACAGCATCCCTTGATATCGTGGAAATAAGACAACTGAAATCGTTAGTCGGAACAAAGTAGCGTGCTCCATTTTGTGTATTGAAAGACGATTATTTCTAGCTCAAGGCATCCAAATCCATGTGGTGAAAAAGAGCAACCAGTCGTTCCAGTGACAGCTGCTCTCATATTAATTCGTTTTTAGGTTCACGCAAGACAGGGCGCATGCTGCAACCCCCTGCAACGATAAAACGTTTTCGAGCATCGAGCACAAATTCTTTTGACAGGTCCTCGTTAAATCGTCAGCAAATTGTAGGGCCTGAATAACGAGAACAGAATTACCGGCAGCAGTCTCAGGCCCTAAAAGGATATTAAAGGATTGTTCTGGTAGTTCACGGGGTGTTAATCCCTGAAAAATTGCTGCCTGAACCTGCGTGAGTGTGAAGGGTTGTGTGAGAGTCTCTCGGTGAATGATACCGTATTGTCCAAATATATCTTTCATTTTCGGCTTGTTGTTGGCAGATGCCAAAACAGCTACCCAATCTTCATCGTTAGTACAACTTTTCATCCCCTCATCCTGCGATTCTCCTTGAGATTTTGCATAGTGGTACTTGGAACAAAAATCCTTACCCTGGTTTTATTTTAAGGATTTCTGAATTGTGAATTGTGTTGAATCTGTTTAGAATCGATTCCGAATTGGTCCTAACGGCGCTTCATTTTAGATCGATATAAAAGGTCAGGAAAGTTACAAATTCTACAACACTGCATAATTGGTTCGCTTGGCATCACCATATCTCGAACATTCCACGGCAAGGTTTCCACCTCGATGATCGCAGATGAGCAATTTTGGTCAGTACCCATCTAACGCTCATTGGGGAGTGTCGACTTGCTAATTTGTGTTGCGTAATGGTATTTGTTACACTTTTCGACCGTTCAATGTCACAAAATGCAACAATAACTCAGGATGTGTTGATTTTATCTTCATCGGTGGAAATCAAGGATAATTTTGGAATAAATCAAAACATTAAGTCGCTTCAGAATTGAAATAAATAATTCTAATCAAAATTAAAACCAAATATTAAATTAAATATTCGATCAGACCTCTTTTTTACGTTTGACAGTAAGCTAACCTATTGTAGAAGCCTGTGTGAATATTTTCTGGTGTAACATGGCAGATTACACGACCTTCCGTGTCAACTTCGCTAGGCAATGTGGTGATGACCTTGGCTCTTCAGACGGCTTCTATCTCTTTCATGTCATGTCTTGATACACACTTCTCGCGCTTCTTTCTCGTACACAGTGAGTTGAAGCCGTCAGACAAGTTTGGTTTTCCCTGTATATCTTATCCTATGTTGTTAGATTTTGCGCCAAGGAGGAAGCGCTTTGAGCGATAGAGAAATTTGGTCATATTTAGGTAGAACAATCGAGGATACTTTCATCTGATTGGTTAAATTTTTCTGCATTCTGCCAATAGTCTGATTTCCCTTAAGTATACTTGTCGCAACTTTTCAGAAAATTAGATTCTTAGCTAAAAAGCCGGACGCTTACCTTTGTAGCGTTGCTTAGACTATTGGGTTTGTAGGTTCACGACACTTTTTTTTCTACACAGCTTAATAAGTCAACGTTATAGGAAAATTGAGCACGTTTTTGTCTATCAAGCTAAAATCTCCAGCTAAAGGGTGGCCATCCGCTGGTTTCTTTTTTAAATTGATTATTTATGAAAAACGATTTCAGTTAAATGGCTACCGCGGCTGGCCTGGAAGTAGTCCATCATCTTAACCCAATTTTGAAGCACATTTTCAATAGTTTGTGGGTCTATTTGATCGATAGCTCTACGGATATTTTCCTGACGAACATCAATTGTTTGAGGATCATTAGTGTAACAGCGGTCCTTAACAGAACCTCTTAGGAAATAATCCATGGGCGTCAAATCATAGCTGAACGTCTCCAAAACGGCTGATATCGCGTTGACCGAACTTAGTGTGTAAAAGACTGGTTGTTTAATGTCGCATCTCTTCTAATAGTGGCCACAAAACACTCCTCAACATGTCCCTATGGCGCTCTCCGTTTACCGTCACGCTGTTACCATCTTCATCTTGGAAGAAGTAGGGATCAATAATCCAACCACTCCCAAAGCCACACCAAACAGTTACTCTTTTTAAATGCATTGGATTTTCTATGACATGTGGATTTTCAGAACCCCAAATCCTGCAATTTTGCTTGTTGACGTAACCTCCCAGATGGAAATGGTCTTCGTCTGAAAAGGCGATTTGGCGACCAAAATTGACGTCCGTTCCCAATTGATTTAGAGTCCACACAGAGAAACGATATCGAAGCGGATGGTCATTTTGTTTCAGCTCTTGCACAAGTTGAACCTTGTAAGTAAATAATCCCAGGTCCTTATGCAATATTCTCTACACGGAAGTGCGAATGATGCCCACTTGTTGTGCTCTATGACGAGTTGACATTCTTGCATTTTCACGCGCACTCTGGGCAACAGCAGCAATGTTTTCGGCTGTACGTACGGGTCGAACACGCTCATACCTTGTATTAACCACAAGCAAGCCAGTTTCACGAACGTGCTTCACGAATTTTCGTATACCAGTCGCGGACGGAGCTTCATTCCGACCAAATAGTCTTCTCAATTTTCGCAAAGTTTCTGCAACACAGCACTCATTTTGAAAATAGTTTTTCAATATTGTCCACCGCTGTTCAAGATTAAAACGATCCACTGCTCACACCGGCAGTTTGACACAATATATCTGTCAATATGTTGAGTATGGAAGTGTTACCAACTGTCATAATAATACCAACTTAAAAAAAACAACTGATGGCCTACACTTTACTTAGACTAATGACGTTCTATCGACCCACCTCAAGTGGCTAACTTGAGTTCAGCGCTATAGAAAATGTCACCACGTATTTTTCTAAAAAACTTTATTAGCTATAAAATTAGTAGTAATCAGTGGATAAGAGAACAGCTGAGAGATCAGTGGATAATATAAGATCAAATCAACATTTTATCCAAGTGCCTGTTAATATTACTTCTGAGGAAATAAGCCAGCGCGAAGCGACATCTACCACCAGCATCGACCGCTGCGGAACAGTGAATTGCAGCCATACGAGGGATGTCTTTTAAGTTTTGCATATAGAAACATAGTAGGCCGCGTGGGTCGAACGCCAGTATTGAATCTTAACCTCACTCTAGTAAACTTAAATTTAAAGTTTCACAACAATACGTGCAGTGTTCTCACTACAGTGAATTTTTAAGTGTCACCAAGTCATTAGAAAAATGGAACTCAACCGAGAACATTTCGCGTCATAATTTATTACAACTTTCAGAGACAATGATCACAACAAGAATGCCTTGCTGAGTTACTGTATGTTTTCGGCAACGAAGCGCCACATCAGTCGACAATTTCCCATTGGTATGGAGAATTCAAACGTGAACGGGTGAGTCTTAGTGACGATTCCAGGGTGGGTGCACCAAAACGGCAGTCACCCAGGAAAACGTCGATGCTGTGCGCAAACTCATCATTGAAAATAGACATGTGCCATATCGCGAGATTGAAGCGTCCTTGAAGATCTCAAAGATCTCAATTCAAAAAAATTTACATGAAGGATTAGGAGTACCTAAGAAAATTAGTTTCTCGTTGGATACCCCACCTGTAGACTGAAGAGCAGAAAGCAGCCAGGGTTAATTGGTGTCAAAAAATGCTTGGCCGTTTCAATTCCGGAAACTCGCGGATTTACTGTTATGAACCAGAAAATAAACGACAGTCGGCTATTTGGGTGATCCAAGGTGAAGAAAAGCCAACAAAAATCATCCGTTCTCGAAGTGTTTCGAAAAAGATGGTCGCGACATTTGTGTCAAAAGCGGGTCATATTGCAACAATTCCTCTTAACGAGCAAAGAACTGTTACTGCGGATTGGTATACCTCCATTTGTTTGCCAAAAGTCATCACCGAGCTTCGAAAAATCATCCCCGTAAAAAGAATCATCCTCCACCAAGACAATGCAAGCTCTCACACAGCCCAAAAAACAAAGCAGTATTTAACGGAAAAAAAACGTGGAATTATTGGACCATCCTCCATATAGTCCCGATCTAAGTCCTAACGATTTCTTTACTTTCCCAAAAATTAAAAACAGACTGCGTGGTCAAAGGTTCCAGTCACCAGAAGAAGCAGTTGTCGCATTCGAAAATGCCGTTTCGGATCTGCCAGCAAACGAGTGGAATAAGTGCTTCGAAAATTGGTTCGAGTGCATGCAGATGTGTATTAATCTTCGTGGAGAATACTTCGAAAAGCAATAAAGTCATTTAAAACTACCTACCGTGATGTTTTATTTCCATATTATGCAAAACTTAAAAGACATCCCTCGTAGATCTCAGTCCGCGAATTGGAGGTCCATTAACGTGACCGCTAGATAGCGACGATTACAGCTGTGTAGTAGATGTGGTCTACTTGCCATTGAAAAAAAATAAAAATGCTCTGCTCTCGTGCGTCTGACCAAAGACAACCAACCATGGATAGATGATTACCCCTCAGCATGATTTCTCGGTCAACGAACAGAAGCATGGCAATTATACACTATCCAAAGTTCAGGGATAGTTCCGACCTATTCTGTTGGAACAGATAATTACCTGGGTTTTTGACCTAAACGTAACCCTATTTGAAGAAAAATGTCTGTATGCTATAGGAAATTTGAAATAATTTATTGATTTATGACGTAGTATGCATCTTTTAAAAAAGATTGGGAAAACGATATGGCAGATTTAACATCACATGAAATATTTTAAAGAAATGGTACGATGTTATGTCTTGATTAGAGCAGAAATATAATATTATTTAAATAAGAATTAAGTTTAATGTTAACAACACTAAGCTATCAATTGACTTGGAATGAAAGGAATTTATAAGAATAATATTACTGATAACACACGATTCAAAAAAATTCATTAACATTATCAACACCTGACTATGTAATTTTCATTTCTGGTTCTATTATTCAAGATATTCATCCTCAGTTGAATCTGTTCCAAAGTAATCTTGACTGTCATCCATTTTTTCAATATTTGTAATAAACGGCGCAATGAGAGGTGAAGATTCAGGTTTGTTATACTAGAAGGTTAAAAAGTCAGAAAATGCACGGAATGACAGCCAAAAAGTCAAGATTCCCAGCTATGAACAGCTCATTGATCTCATCTCATCTTATTCTGTGCACGCGCATGCGCTATCAAATTCGAAATTCTGGCTTTCTCTCATAGACGGAACCGTCACAACTAGTTCAAAACCAGCTCGGAAATTGTTAGAACAGGGATCTGCTAGTTACGGAATCAGTTCGATTTTCTGTTGGAACGGTAACTTCGATATGCACATGCTCCGTTCAGTTCAGAACTAGTTCGATGGTTTGTTGGAACAAAGCTCTTACGGACATTTCAGTTACATTGACAGTCTTTTTTATGGTGAAGAGGAACATCCCGTCGTCGGTCGTCTGCGTCCGCCGACACCATGTCCATCGTACAAGAAAGAGCGAACTTACTCCCGTGGCATCGGCGCGAGTATTTACGATAGCGTTTTATCAGATAACGCCTGGCGAGGTGTCCGCAACGCGGGTGGGAGGCCGTTTTTAACGTTTTTATGGCATCGTGGCAGCGCACCAGCCACGTCCGTCCCCTAATAGAATAAAGGTGTTCGGAATTAGCCTCCGCGATAAAGGAATCTGTTGCTTTACAGTTACTAATTGCCACCATAGACGGATATATACGTTATGTGTGGACATCGCCATCGACCTGCCTGGGAATTGACTCGTTTCTAGATACCGGACAGATGTTCGGTTATCTGACACTTGTTAAGTGCCATACTTTCTAATGACAATTACTGCCTTCAAGCTTGAACATCTTAAGGCCACAAATTATGACCTGATTGTGTATTATATAAATGATCAGATTGATAGGTAGTTTTTACTGACTAAGTTAAGACAAGACTCATTACGGTCCTGAGTAAGAAAGATTTTCTGTTCATCCAAGCTTTTGAAAATTAGTGCTTTATATTGTGGTAACCATGTGAACAAGTTATTATCTGCCTTCCAGTTGCTACTGTTGAAAAGTCTTCTTCATCCTAAACGTTTCGGTCACAACGGTGACCTTCTCGAGTACAATGACATCGGCAATATAATATTGTATTTATTATACATAGTGGCCAATATGTAACTGACTTATTTAAATTGCGCGCCATTTTTGATACACCCATTTCAGTAGGTGGCGCCGCAGCACTTGTTTAAAGCACATATGTCCAATTCATTATGGAGCGCTACACGATCCCACAAAGCGTCCATATTGATAAAACGTTTTACTTAAATAAAGAGTCGATTGTTGCAACGATTCGGAAGCTACGACAAGATTTCGGTCGTTATAATGTGCCCAGCGTCACCATTCGTGAGTTGGTGTGGAAATAGGAACAAACAGGTGAAGTTCAAGACTTGCCAAGGTCGGGACGTGTTCAAACTGTTCGTACTCCGGAAAACATCGAGAGAGTTTGTGAAATTGTAGTGGAGTTAGCCTGAGACGTCTACCAGACATCGTTCTCAAGACTTGCATTTGCGGTCATATAAAATACAGTTAAGCCAAGAACTACAGCCTAGTGACCATGAAAGTCGCCGACAATACAGTCATGCAATATTGCAGCTTATACTCAAAATAACGATTTTTACCGACCGCCGATAATGAGAAATGAATCCCACTTCGATATGAACGCATTTGTTAATGAGCAGAATTGTCGTGTTTTTTCATTAGAGGACCCTCGTGTCATCCATCAACGACCACTACATCCTCATCCAGTCACAGTTTGCTGGGGTATTTTTTATGGAGGTGTCATTGGATCTTACTCCTTTGAAGACGCTGCAGGTAATTCTCTTACAACAATTGAACCTGCAAAACATGTGGTTCCAGCAGGACGGAGCAACTTGTCACACAGCTAGGGAACAATGAATCCTTTGAGAACAATATTACCGAAGCGAGTGAAAATATGTCTGTCGAAATCTACCATAAAGTAATGGAAAATGTAACCAAGAGGGCTCAGGTCTGCGGGGCTTCTAGAGGCGGACATTTGTCTGATATTATTTTTCATACTTAATTTCTAAGTTTCAATAAAACAATAAGATGGAAAAAATTGACGTATTTTATTTCATTTGACAAATATTCAAGATACAAACCAGTCAGTTACATATCGGCCACGCTGTATCTGAGTCATTGTACTGAAACGTTTACAATAAAGATTTTTTAAACACATGTGGTTTCGATTGGCCAGAAAAATATGGGGGATTATCGACATGATAAGATTTTTGAAAAAATTGGTTTGGCATTTGCACATTATTATCAAATTTGATACTAGATACACTATGATGGTTCGAAATCAAAAAATTCCTGGGTACACATTTTTAGGTATTCATTGAATGTCAGATGAGTGCTGCACTTTATGTAGGTCGCCAGCAAGGGAAACCGGTGGAACCTGTACTGAGAGAAGAATACTTTTTTACGCAAAGGAGTTGGTTAAGCTTTCCGAAAACAGCATTCAACTGACATTATTACACGGGGAGTCGAACATCGACAATAGTTCGTTAGTGCTAGTCCAGTTCTGGTTATTAAAATGAGGTATGTGTTTTGCATGAACACCACCATGTAAAAAAGTCATTGAATTACACATTGCCATTGATAAGTTATTGACGTAAAATCAATTTCTTGTATCATCCTTCAGAGGCATGTTCCATCATAGGGAACCCTCGTAGGACAGACACTTCTTTATAGGAATCTGTGGCATTATTGTTTTGTGTTTTACCTGCATTCGAGAAATTGTCACCTATTCTGCGACTCCCTGGGTACTTGAACATTTTGTGGATGAATGAAGCTTTAAAACTGTACTTGCGTTTATTTAAGAACTACCTACCATTAGGTTGAGCCATAGGTGCACTCGGGGGCATAGCAATCGCCCTACAAACAATATGGGCCTCCCACCTTACAGAGGCCCCGTTGTGTGAAAGAAAAAATGCGTAGTGTTATCCACAATTTCACGAACATTTTAGGTCATTCTCCAAAGTATAATTTCTCAACTGTTAAGTATTTAGATCGTATGGTGAGGTCATAATTGGGCGTCTTCTGCTTTTGACCCTCCAGGCTACAACTGCAACAGGTGAAGCATACGAAATTGAGTGTGATTGAACCATCTTAGGACGTATATGAGACAACTATTACTATAAGACCTGTTACTATCTTCAGGCAGATAATCTCGAAACATTGAAATTCTCTTCAGTTATAGAATAGTGTCAAGTAGATTGACTCGGTACTACCCACGTATTCACGCACGTTCAAATTGAAGATCTTTGACAAATACGTTCTATTTCAGTTTGTTTTTTATAATTATGTGCATCAAGAATAAGCTTCACAGAAGATTAGAGATTATTGAATCTCATAGTAATGTGTTCTACTACGATCTACCCTGACTAATTAAAAGCGACAAAATCAAATTTCCAACGTTTTTCAAAACTGTAGCCTCTCCAAAAATTCTTTTCGGGAAGTTTGAAAGCACAGGAAAACGAACTTCTGGATCAACCTGAAGCTGTTTTCTGTTTTGATTGTAATTCTGCTACCATAAAACGTATTAAAAAAAAGGAACATTGCCCAAATCCAAACAGTGCAGCCGTTTTAGCGAATGTAAGAGTAAAATAACTATAAGATATAGATGGATCAACAGACAAGTCTGCGGAAAAAACTCATATGGATTACGTATTGAATACATCACCAAATCTAAGAGAAAGTTATTTGAGATTTGAAAATGTTCGAAAATGCGTGTGAAACAATAAGAAAAGCGTATGGTTGTTATTTGTCTACCTATAAAGAGTAACATTGTAAAAGGCAACAATTAGGTTCTACGTAATATTTAATCATATTATTATCCTATGTAACGTTTTTGTATCTTTTGTGAAACATATTTACATCGAATTTTAGTCTCCATCTGAAATTGGCCACCATTCGGTGGGGCATCCTGAGAAATGTTGATATCGCTATGCGAAATATTGCATTACTGATATTTGCAACTGTTACAAAAAATGCATCTATGTAGATTCCGTAATGGTTGTGGCTGACCATAGAAGCTGCATTTATCACAAATAAGATACATGTTGAGCAAAATTAGTCACAAATGTGTGGTCCCAACCTCAACCATCTCGTTTACCGTTCATCCACCCAACCCATGTCTCTTCGAAACACGATAATACCAAATCTATCCGATAGATAGTGAAAAGTCTTAAATTTCTGGA